AAACACTTAGTATTTCATTAGGGAATCAACCTGGCATTTTTGCCTCGAAGTTTACAGTGTATTTCTTATGGCAATAATTCCATGGCCGATTGTGATTGAAACCAAATTCTTTCGTTAGTTGTCTCGCTAGCTGGTTTTGTATTTTTGTCTCTATCGAGTGACGTAAAAGTCAAATATGACGTCCATTTAAAATAAGGAAGTTGATGTCAATATCTGGAAATCCGGCATTTTGAAATTTTTTTTTCTACACTCATTGAATTTATCGCCCATCGAATCTTGCAACTTTTATTTGAAACTTTTTTCGATAGCTCTGTTTGTTACTAAAATATTTGAATTTTTTAAAAATGGCGATTTTTCATTTTTTATCAATTACCTACGAAACCATTTATTTTTTCAAAATCTCGCATCGGAATCGGAATATCCATTAGCATCAAAAACTATACAACTGTTCCAATTTAACCAAATCTGTAAGTATAATAATAACAAAGATGGCCATGTAAGGTATCTACTCAATTTAAGACATCCTGTATACTACTTCTTCCACTACTAGTAACGGGCGATCAAAAATGAGTTACTATCAAATCGCCTTTGGAAATTCAAGTTAAGTACGATTTACCATGTAAACAAAAATTCCAAAGGCTACACTCGACAGCAACTCATTTTTGATCGCATAGTACTTGAAGTCCTCTAAATTAACAGATCTATATTGTTAAAAAAGTGAACGGTTGAACAGAATTTTTGGTTTATTAATTTAATATGCCAATTACGTGGGTGGAAGTAACAGTCAAGGAGGCCATATTTTCTTCTGCTATTGAGATATTTTCAAGGAGTAGTTTCGTTCGAATTTTTTCGAAATGTGATAATTGTATGTAATTTTTCTTGAAATGGCGGATGGTGGCAATTATTCATTTTAGAAAACTTATCTGAACGTTTATTGAGCGAAATTTCAGGTTGTGATTTCTAAAATTGACAGCGTGACAGTTCTCATTATTGACTACTGGTTAATAAATGATTATTAACTACTTTGAACAACTGGCGAGAAAGCCTGCTTTAAAAGTGGAAAAAAGGTTAATAATTATGTTATCAGACGCTAGTAGTGAAACAACAGGTTTTGATTTTAGGTATCTATATAGATAATCACAATCATAGGTGTTGACTTTTTTGGAACGAGGCGGGATTTATGCACTCAGAAATAACTACTTTATTACTTTTTATGTGTTTACCAGATTTTACCTCTCCGGTCACCTTCTGTCACATTACGCATCATATGAACAAATGAGCACTTCCTCGTTACTCCCCGTACTTCCTCGTACTTCCCTGGACTTCCAGTACTTCCTCATAACTTCCTCAATTCTGTACAATTACTTCCCCTGGTGTTTACCCCCTGATTAAAAGCAAAGCAAGCAAAACCGAAAGGTGCCGCACTCTCGCAAAAGCAGACTACCAAGGCGAAAAAGAACGCGACTTGAGAAAAACCTTGGCCGTGAATAAAACCCAAACTATGTTAATCACAAGCAAATTAAAACACCAACCACCTAAGCAGAACATGTAACACTACCTTAATTAATTAATGAATTCAAGTAGCAGGGTACGTTTGAACAGTATGCGTAGAGTATTCGTCACAACATGTCATGTACTTTCCTTTAATCACGGCTAGAAGGTAACTCACTTTTTAGTTAGTCATTGGATGGTGAACCTGGTTACTTGTTAGGTTAGGGCCAGCGTCTTAGCTTGATAGCCCTCCTGTTTCACGGTTATATTGTTAGAAATTGGGCCGGCATATTTGCCTATCAGCCCGTAGCTCAGTTACGATTGTTAGGGGCAACACATTCACGCATTTATTGATATAAGTCACCTTACTAGTTATTCGTATAATTGTATATCGAATAGGGTGGTGTGAAGTTTGTAAAAACATGTCTGATCTATTATTCATGACGTGACGTAACAATAGGCAGCTATGACAATACACAATGTGCTCGTGGGGCCCCCAATTATACTCAGTTTCCACATAATGACATTGGTATAAACCCCAGACTTCCGCAAGTACTACCTGTGCTTCGTAACACTCCCCGGACATCGGTCTCATAACGACACAAAACTGAGGGTGGTTAAGAGATGGGTCGCCGCCCATGGGCAGGATGGCCTTTGTTACAGCACTTCATCCCTAAAGTTGGAGTTTCGAGGGCCCTCGGATCCTTTTATGCCTTAGCTCTAGAACACCTTTCTATTCTAGCGTCCGAGCTCCCTCTCACGGTAGAAAGATATTAGTTACATACACTGAGCGAAAGGTATTGTTTAAATTTAACAAATCAATTTGTTTGGGCCGCATTTATTTATCGTTACCTACCGTTTTTAACTTTTAAGATCGTTTATTAAACAATAAGATAGACATTCTTTAATATATAGAAAATCATATAGTATCTGTCTGTATTTTAGATATTAATATACTGGCATAGTATTAAACAAATCACCTTTAGGATTACCGCTTACAAGTCTAAAATGACATGATACTTTCTAACAATAAAGAATGCTGAACTTATTACTTTACACTTATAAAGTAGGTACTGCATACAGCAAAGTTGAGATGTTGACATCTTGTCTTATTTTTCATCTTAATTGATTTCAAGCATACTGCGTAGTTACCTCATTGAATTAGTCATTAATAAGTGCGGCTGCGGCTACAGGGGTGATATTATAAAACAGTAAAGTGCATTGTGAATGTGATTTTAATTTGTTTCCCGAAATCCAACAAATCACATCTGTGGTGTTTCAATTTTACGTTGGAAATATGGACTAATATGGAATCTAGCCAAAATTATTGAGGCGGCGCGCGGGTTTAGCGCAATTTTCCGAAGTGTTTGTAGGTAAGTGAGTACCCATATTAGCCATATTAGTTTCTAAAGTAGTGTAGTAGTCCTCTTTTGCATTAATTGATTAATAATAATTAATAATGATGGTACCTACCTATGCCATCATTCCTACCAGAAAACACAAAATGAGCATAGCTTTAGTTTAGCCATATAATAATGCCAAGCTATAGCCATACTAGGAGCTCGTTTGCTATATTGTTTTAATTTTTTACTTTTTGGTTTGCCAAAAAAAATTTGAAGTTTTTGGTTGTTTTACTTGGGAACTAAATTTTGATTTTGGTAATGAATGTTGTCTTGGTATACCTACGAGTTCATTGAAAATTACATCCGCATTTTATTTTTAGAATTTGTAAAAAAACACAATGGACGAAACCCATAGAATTTTATTAAAAGATCGCGTACCGAATTGAGCATCCCTTTTCGAAGTTGAGTCGTTTAAATTTAATGGAGTGAATTTCACAATTGGTTGCGCGTTGATACTTCTAGACCCAGAGGATGTCGGTGAATTACCTGTATAGTTGGGATTGTAAAGTATATTTCTACAGAAGATAAAGGTGTGTTTTTATTTTGTAATGTTATTAGTTATTACTGTAATACTATACATCCTGATAGGTGTGGTTAGGTATATATTGAACACGTTCAACATACATTTGGTTGCTGGTGGGCAATATGTGTTAAATATGTTTAAAGTAGAATAAATGATTATTTTTCTTTTTATTATTAGTAAAATTAACAAGTAGTTAAATAGTGTATTAACGCAGTTACGTATTTTTAGCACATTTAAGATTATCTACAGGATTTTTTAAAAAATAAACAGTTATTGATTTGGATTTTTTGTTGTTAATATTATTTAATTTACATCCCGTTTAATCCTATCAAAGTTGAAAGTTAATAAATATTTTGTGCCCATCAAGTGCATAATTCTTAAATCACTTTGTGATTAGTAAAGAAATTGTGGTAAGTATCATTTATACCGGAATTAGTACAAAACGTTTCTTAATAATAAAATACCATTAGATCTATATTATCAACATATTCCATTATCATTATTAAACAAAATTTAATACCAATTTTGCCTCGAATTTTGCCTTCTTTAATAGCTAGTAAATATCAAATTTATAGTTATTATACCACATTACTATCAAACAGTTTGAAGCTTAGGGTATAACAATTATATGTTAACAGTTAAAGAATAGCATTATCTTCAAACAAATATGTAGGATTAATTTCAATCATTTATTGCTTATGGTAAAAATACTATTTCTATGTGTTAAGTTATCTTTACTTACCATAATTGAGCAAACCATTTGGTAACAAAAACATTTTATTTGTTTGTTGACATTTGAACTTAATATTTGTTAACTCAAAATAAAATTTGTTTACTGTAACCAAACTTTTTCTCAGTGTACAACAAGGCACACACATTCACGAATGTTACGAGTCACCCTAAACTAAATACACCTAGCCTTGCATGCCCTACTTCACGGAAGTCGAGGTTCGACATAGGTACACCCCCGTGCACCGTGTAACTGAGTAAACGTGGTCTAAACCTGAGATATTGTAGACTTCCACAAGCACATGGATATTAGTTAACACCTCGCATGTTGTAAATTACGTATTAGCACAATGGTGGTTGGAAAATATCTGATTTAACAAACGGCACAATTCATATAAGTACATAAGAGTAAACTACATAAACTACTTTACCCGACACCAAAGTGGTTGAATCTTACGCACAAACACCAAAAACAAAGCTAAACTCTATGAATACAACTCAAAATGCAATAATCCCAACACCAACAAGCTTTAACAATCAACAAGTGACACCAAGCCCCCAAATCCCAAACATCCTCCGGAAATTACGAAAAAAATATCGACAGGTGGTGATGGCGGTGGCTCATGTCCCCAGAATCTCCAACTACTTGACCGGTTGCATCCGAGGTTGAAATATACCTACAGGATATTTAAAGGGATATAGAATCTCAACCTTAGCAGTCCATTCTTCTATTTTTTAAGTTGGAGAATTAATGTCTTCTGTTCTTAATATTCGTAGTAGACTGGACATCCGGCTCGAAGGACCATATAATTAACCTCGCGTTATTTTCTCTCCCTTTCGTATGAACACACGAATTAAAGGCAAACGTTTATTTTACATTTTATGTGCACTTTATAAAACGGAATAGAAATAAAATTAAACAGTAGGTATGTAAAAATAGAAATAATTCACTAATCTTGGCGATTAGGTGACAACCTCCTTAAATCATATGTTAATATGACTGATCTAAGGCCACGTCCAGCTAGACATATTACCGGTTATTGGTGGATAGTTGCATCTGTCGGTCTCGCAAGTCCTACATTCTCTAACTGCGACCTCCCTACTTATTATTATTCTGCAGAAACTCTCCGACGGGCGTACATGTGAGCAGCCTCTGCTGTCTTTGGTTCCTTCTGTATCGGTAAGTTTTGTTAAAAACTACAGAATAGCAATATAGTATATCGGCTTACCAATTCGTGCGCCATAACACAACGACTTAAAACCAATCACGGATAAGTCACGGCAAGTCTCGTATGTTGTCACCTGACCCGATGTGCATCCGGCATCCGAAGGATAGCATAGCATGCATTCCAGCGCTTGAGCTGATAATAAATCATTATTTTCACAAAAGCGGACAATTACAGTGTAATGACCCACCTGAAGCTGCAACAGTAACGACGACGAGCAACGCTATCAGAACTTTTGAAGCCATTATGAGTTCCAGGTAACCTTCTCGGGTAAACTGCGTCGCCTTTGGCCCGCAGCGAGCTTATATATCTATTCCTATCAGGGCGCAGACAGATTAAAAAGATTAAAAATAATTAGAGTATCATTTAGTTTTGTTTCTTTTTTATATATATTGATATAAGTCGAGATCCGGATAATAGTAGGATAACCTGAGATCCCCCTTTAAAGTTAAAAATATGCGTGTATAATGGGTTGCCAACGACATGAAATATGTTCTTCTATCATTACCCCTGTAGAGGGGAAAGGAATTCTACAATTAAAATTATCCATATAAAAAGCAGTTAGGATGAGATCCAAAAATAAATACACTTAAGTAGAGATCATATAGTGTATAAAATGACATTGGTGTGATAAGGAGAGATCATGCGGTGTTGTCAAATGTACTTGTTCTAAAAATAGATTTCGTTATCTTTTGCGAATACTTAACAGGTTGTTAGCCTTCCTGTAGGATTCCTTCGCGTATTCTTTCTTCGATAAAGCGGTGCGTTAACATTATTTGGCACCCGGGGCTTGAAATATTATAACATTTAATTAAATAATACCTAGTGTAATAGGTACTCTATTTTACATCGATGATAAATATTAATGATTAGCTATTTATTAAAGGAAAGAGTTCCCGTTGGAAATGAATAATTTTTTGGCATTATCTGAAATGCTTCAAAATTGATCATGCATTAGGTATTCATCCTATAATCATGTATAAACACCAAACCCAAAGAAATCATTATCAAATTGCTTTTTTATCTCTTCCAGTATCGTATGGTGCGGTTGGTAAAAAGCAATCACAAGAACTCTAAAGTTATTTGCCTATGATTACATGTAAACCATTAGGTTGTTCAGTATTTCGTAAAGAAATCTGCAAAAAGTTCATTTTTGAAGAAAGATGCCTTGGTTAGTCAAATTGGTTCAAACCATGGAGGTGGCCATTTTGGTTCAAAAACATCTAATTCATCCTCCAATCATGTATAAACACCAAACCCAATCAAATTGCTTTCTTATCTCTCGTCCAGTACCGTATGGTGCCTGGTTGGTAAAAAGCAATCACAAGGACTCTAAAGTTATTTGCTTATGATTACATGTAAACCATTAGGTTGTTCAGTATTTCGTAAAGAAATCTGTAAAAAGTTCATTTTTGAAGAAAGATGCCTTGGTTAGTCAAATTGGTTCAAACCATGGAGGTGGCCATTTTGGTTCAAAAACATCTAATTCATCCTACAATCATGTATAAACACCAAACCCCCAAAGAAATCATTATCAAATTGTTTCCTTATCTCTCTTCCAGTATCGTATGGTGCCTGGTTGGTAAAAAGTAATCACAAGAATTCTAAAGTTATTTGCTTATGATTACATGTAAACCATTAGGTTTTCAGTATTTCGTAACGAAATCTGTAAAAAGATCATTTTTGAAGAAAGATGCTTTGGTTAGTCAAATTGGTTCAAATCATGGAGGTGACAATTTTGCTTCAAAAACATCGCACTTATACTGCAATCATGTGTAAACACCAAACCCAAAGAAATCAGAATAAAACTGCTTCGTACCTCTCTTCCACTACGCGTACGATACCTAATTGGTAAAATCAATCATAAACAATTTACCAAATTCTCTTTTTAGACAGCGCTGTAATATCTTTGGTTCTTTTCCCGATGGTATAGAAATAACGTTTTTGACATCTTTTGATCAAAATACAAGTGGTCATCGAAAGTGTATCAAATTCCCCTATTGGGCACCGTGGTAGGTGTGTTCCTAGCTTATAGTTCCGATACCCTTAGAATTCATTATAACCCTCTTATTTTAATTTAATGTGCTTACTAAAATATACTAAACGTTATTTTACATTTCTCCTCAATCCACCAGTTTAATCTCTTTAATACAAATCCGCCCTTATAACGTAACGTGGATTAGGAATAATACATACGAGATAGCAGAGAACAAATTATTTACGTTAAAGCGCACATAGTACAGCTACCTCTTTCATTATTTGCTATCGCACTTTAAAGCGAGTAGACCGCTTTGCAATGTTGCCGTTTATTTGGATCTCACATTATTTAAAATATAACGTATTGTATATAACGTAAGCAGCGCCCCCTAAGATGATCATTCAAGAACTTCGCGTTATAAATATATATATATATATATATATATATATAATTGAAACTTATTTTTAGCTTACGCATTCGTTTCACCTCTGTCAACTGCATGTCTTTTTCTGCTCTCCTTCTCTTCGCAGCAGTAGTTTCAACTATTGATTTCCTCATACACTCTTCAACCGTCTTACTGTTTTTGATTCAATTTTGGGATTAGTCACTCTAAAATATTTTAGGGTCCTTTTGTCAACACATCTGTCCTTATACAAAATTTAAATTAAATAACTTTGCGCGATTCAAAATTAATCCTACCACTAAGAACAAAAACAGAATTAAACAATTACAAATTGCGAACTAAAATTATAGGACAATCCTCATCAACCAGAAAGTAAATTTTTCACTTCTATTCATAAAAATCTCTACACGTCTCGATCAAATAACTAAAATCATAATCATCGTTATTCCCAATCTCATTGTATGTACATGCATTTTTTAAGTACAGGGCATATCGCTATCATCGTTGGGATTGTTTCAACCTAGACAACGGGATATGGATGAGACTGAGTGAATTTGGGGTAGAATGTAAGGCGGTAGACCGTCACTTCTACCGAAATTGTAGACTAAACATGGAAAACCAAAGAGAACTGCATCGACTAGGACTACCTATATCATCACATATTAATGACGCATAAACCGCCGTATCTGTACGAAAATATTTCGTTTAGAACGGGCGTTGTAACATAAATATTAGGTGTGCATTGTACTTAACCCCCAGGTTCTAAGCTACATTCACACTACAAGAACACGGGAAATAAAAGGTTTGTTCGTTTGTCTGCACTAATCAACACTGGTGTACCAAATGCGTTCGTTTGTCTGTTTGTAACTGCATGCATTCCGTTCGTTTGTGTAGTGCAATTTGCCCATTTTAGTTCATAACAGCACAAACTTTGTTCGTGCATTTTAGTGCGAGCAACTTAGTGCAGCATAAATTAGACGTGAAACGACCGTTCTCATAACCATAAACATTTTGAAAAAACAAGGTGGGGAATCTGCGATGAATAAATTATTGGAAATGGAACTTTTATTTCATGATATTATTGAACAATTTATAAGTAGATCGTCAAGTGAGGAAGATAATATTGCAGAGGTCATACAACAAGTAAATGAAAAATAGTTTCCTGTATAATAAATAATAAATTTATCACTCATGATGCAGTACAAACGTTTTTTGTTGGTTATTTATTTACTATACCCTAAATAAGCGTTCGTTTGTTAGATGCCAGTGCATCAAAAACTGATTACTCCAGCTTACACCGTGACGTCACATCAGTGTTGCACCAAACCAATCGAGCAAGACAAACGAACAAACCTAAAGTCAGGCAATGTTTAAAAATGGTCACCCGAATGACGACTCCCTCCAAAATTAAACAAGATTCCGCTTAAATTTGAAAAGTGGCACGTGATAAAACATCTAAGGCAGGGCCCCCTTACTTCAGTTGTAAACAATGCTATGACCTGACGTACAGTATGGAAGGAACGTAAAATAAAACACTGAAATTGTGGAAATTCTTTAATAAAGATGGTTATTATTAAGTTTGTGAAAGCCCGGAAATTTAGTTGATAAGCAAAGCCAAAAGGTGCCGTACTCTCGCACAATTAACTGCCAAGGGTAAAAAGAGTTCGACAGAGAAAAATCTTGCAGTTAGATTAATACAGTCCCAAACTCAGTTGACAAAATAATTTGTAGAATTATCAAGTTAAGCACCCGCCAAGGTTAAAAACAGATTTTGGGAACAATGGGTCAGGTAAGCAGGTACCTAAATTCTGAGAAAGGGTGAAGGGTATATGATGTTGAACGGTTCCACCCTGTATATACAACTTACGACGATACATACATTTTTGAGAGTTGGCAACCATGCAATTTCTAGGTGGGAAAAAGGTGCCTGCGCCATCTAAAAAGCAGGAACGGGAGTTCCGTTGATGATCTTGTCTTGAATGGCGGTAGTGAACGCGTCGCTCCATAAATGTTTGATGTTATTTTGTGTTATTTAATGCAGTGAGATGCCCCAACCTTAGCAACGGCCTGTCAATATGAAGCACCCTATACATCATGTTAGTTACACAAGCTGCCAACCGAAATCTGGTGGGATTACAGAAAAGGGAAAGAGAGCGAAGATGAGACGGATGGAATTTCTTGGAAGACAACGTGTTTACAATTTCAAACACCTGCAGTCCACTTTTCTCTCAGAAATGCGTGAAATGCAGGGAATGGGAGATTTTCGGGTGGTTTAGGGGTATTAGCAGATCAAATTACCACGTGGCTTGGGTTGGTCAAATAAATAGGATTTAACATGTGTGTTCATGGTCTTTTGTCTTGTAACCAGCTGAAGTGTAAAGTACGGCTGGTCTTGAAATATTTTGTTATACCTTAATCATTGCTGTGTGCTTTTGCTTTGTTATATCAGGTGAGGTATTTGCTTTATTCAATTAATCTATAAATGTGTGTAACTTGAATGCAGATTGTAACCCTTTACTTAATGAATTCAATCACTTGTACCTTTTAATGTGTAACCTTTGTTGGTATTGGCAATCATGTTTCATTGTCGGTAGGGCTGTATCTGTGCTGTACATACTTGCATGTGTACATATTTAATTTGTGTATTGTGCTTTTTAGTCACTCTCGATTATTTCATTGCATTTCATTATATTTGCTTATTTGGGACTGTGAGTAATCAAGAGGGAAGAGTGCTTGTTTAGAGGGGATCGAGTTATTCAAGTTTATACGGGCCTTGGTGAACCTAACACTAACATTTTCACTCGTTCCGAACCCAACAACTTTAGCCCAGGACTACAGGGTCCCCACTGGTCCTGGGTAATCCTCCCGCCCGGCGAGGTATATTTGACATCTCTTAGTCTTGTCTGATGTATGTGTTGTAATACCTGGGGAATGGCTCGTTCCCATTTTGGTTACTGATAGCGTGTTTGTAGTAGTTACCCCGGTTTCGAGAGGGCTCAAAAGTGCTGTACATTGGATGTTGTTCATTGTAGGACTACTCCGAATTAGGTTTTCCTAATTCGTAAAGTAAATGCAGGAGTAGTATAGAACCACTTAAGACCCTCTGCAGGGGCGCCGCTAAAACCCATTATGCGGGTCACTCAGACAGGGACCGTCGTGATGTACGCTTCAAGGTCGGACGGAACGTGCTGCTCAAATCGCCTCTTTTAAGTAAAGCAATCAAAGGGTTTACCTCTAAATTGGGGACCAAGCGGGATGGATCAGATATGGGAGTGTAACACTACTTGGCAGACACCTACAAAAGCATTTGGTTCTTTTGAATAAGTTTTCCCTTAACAGATTGTCGTATCGGCATCACAGAAGTATATATAAACTTCATTAACAGACACTTCCGCATAATTATATTTCCCCGATTTCATTTTCTATTCAACAAAATTGTCAGTAACAGTTACACAAACTTTTCACTAAATAAGATGGCGTATACTTCAACTTTGTCTTCGAACGAGGGACCAGGTACTAATCCTGGGGGTCAAACTAAATTCTTCAATTTCGACCACTTTTACATTTTTTTAGTAATCGCATCCAATCTCTTACAGTCTGTAATCAAATCACGGAAATTTACATAGGCAGATGTATAAATTTTATTTACAATTATAACAATCATCACAATATTTGCGCTAATCTATCCGTCCAATTGTTTCCAATAGATGCAAGGGTTTCGATTTACAGTTCATATACCACTGTAGTACAGAGCTGGCATGACTTCTAATGACCAATGCTTGTGAATCTAAAAGCAGGCGGCAATTAGAAGTACACAAACATTCACAATTACCTGTCCCAAACTGTTTCAGCCACCGCAAATTCGCTGCGATAATTTGGGGGGTGAATTCCGAGTGCTTTGTAAAATGTATGACTAACGTCATCACCGCACAGATTTGGTTTGGATCATTTAACGTTGAGCCTTGGGCTTGAAGATCTGGGAAAATTTGGTCGATAATGAACCGTTCGCCGACGTCATCCATTAGCGCAATCGCCAGAACACGAGCGCATTCATTACGTTCATCTAAAACCGCCGTTAGTCGCGTTCAGTGGACACCGAGCAAAACTTACCAATGTAATACTTAACCAACTCCTTGAATATCGCCCTAACATCACAGTCGCTTGAAAATTGGTAATAATTTAAAAGTAAGTATCGCAAATTAGCCGAATTGTACTCAGGCAAAGGCACGCCCTTTAAAAAAATCGCTTGCACAATCGCTCTCATAAGCACGTGATCGTGCGCCGGCATTCCCTTTCGAGGAAAAACCTCGATCCATATTTGGAGCACGGTGTAAATGTAAGGAATCGCTAAATCGCCCAAGTCGGCAATGGCCGAACATATCGCAATGCGCATTTGCATATAATTAAATTGTCCCTTGCAGATGGTCACGTATAACCTGGTGACGGGACTCAGAGCGACTGGATCCTTAACGATCCTCAGGTAGGAGTCGGCCTGCCTGAAGTACGCCTTACACACACCCTTTACTTTCAATTTTTCTAACGCCATCATGAACTTGTACAGGCCGCGTTGGGTGGTTGTCAGGTGAGGTTCCCTAGGATAGTTGCCTTTCGTCGGTGTATCGTGTATGTCGAACACGATTCGGCCCAAAATTAATCTGGAAACGTATTAATTACAACGGTTGCTATTTACAACCCTTAAACCTTTAATTAGGTATCTGGATATCTTTAAACACGAAAATAACGAAACTTGCTACAGACGTTATACAAAAACAGTTTGCGCATGCGTGGACAAGATTTGTTTGTAACATTTAATAAAAAATTGTAACGTACGCAATACTTACTTTGCTATACTATTTGCGGATTCGCATGTAAACATCTTGGCTATTTTAAAGATCTTCTCATTACAATTTGAATACTGCAACATGTCTTCAATTAAGAATCTGGCTCTCTCTAAAAGTAACACTTGTTAATTGCAAAAATCAACAACAGTATAAACAATCCAATCACACACACTTTGGCGCCCGAGCCAGCGTAAACAATAACGACAGCAATCCGATCACATACACTTTGGCGCCCGAGCATCCTTCGTTCAATGCATTTTTGATATATTTACTCTACCGTAACGGTTTGTTAACAATACATTAGAATTGTTGATATATCAAGTCCGATATTTGAAATTGAGTCAGATTACATAATTAAAAACAATCGGTCGACGCCCAAGTCATGTCTAAATTCGACTTCGACATTTTAGAGCTTTCAAACACTATACATCAAGTGATTATATTTCTTATTTTCGGCTTACCTAAAAAAATTCCTGTTACTGTGTCTTCGGACCTTTCTTTGTTAGCACGACAGAACTATACAAGAACTTATCCGCTTGATTACTAAATATTGTTTAAAGTTCGAACCCCAATGATTTTAAGCTCATTCCTCCTTGAAGAAGAACCCCACATTTAGGGGAAAACTCCCAAAACCTTGTTGTAAATCGATTTTTTATGAAATTTATGCAGTGACTTCATAGATCCATGGTTGCGGAAAAGTATACATCAGGAGATTTATTTTTCATATGTAAGAATTCCGAAGAAAAATTGATTACAAAAAACAAAAAATCAAACCTGATATCAGAAAGTTTCATTTGACACCCAATAATTGCTGTAATTGTATTCCAAAAAATTGTCAATAATGACCCATTTACGTGCATAGAATGACACTTGTTGACCTTGTGAGTTAGTTCCATACGACGAGAGCATAAAAGGGTTTAACTATGTTATCCCAAAAGCGATCCAACCTTCAATTTTTCTTGGAGGGAGCCTTTTTTCAAGACAGAGCCGTACTTTGTACCTTAAAGAAAACACAGATTCCAACGATAAAAGTTGTTTTAATTAATTGTATAAAGTATTGCTTGTTTGGGTTATCTTTAAAAGATTGCAGCGGGATTTGTGGAGATTCATAGCATGGAACAGATTGGTATGTACAACGGGTAGTATGTAACTTGTTTATTTAAAAAAGGGGTCTAAGGAATAATAACTTTCACAATCCCCTCGAGCCGAGTCCTCTGGGATGTAACCTTACATACATAAGCATTTCTAGGAATTGACATCACATAATCACCATGACACAAATACCCTATGTATAACTACCATTACACTCTATATTTAATTTCAACCGACACACACACGATTTAATTTGATCTCATCAGAACAAAATGGCCGACTAGTTAATAACCTTTGGCATTGATACAAAAACATCCATCACAAACACCCTGTATCATTACACCTTCTACATTTAAAATGACAGCCAATCACAGAAAAAAATTAAATTCACTTACCGCTACAAAATGGCAGACATCCGGAAATTTAAAACTTCCGCACAATTTTAAATTTACCGCAACAAAATGGCCGACATCCAAAAATTCAAGTTTACCGCCAGCAAATGGCGCAGCCAATAACCCAGCACTGTGCCGTCAGAAAAAGGGAGGGGTATGCTAGACTTACACTACTACAAATGGCTGACCAAATAGGACCTATCAGTAACGGATCATTGGCACCGTAACAAAATTTCACCATGTATACAACTTTCGCAATTCTCTATACATGTACAGGGTGGCCAAATAAGAATGCGAGGTACTATACCTGGGAACCTGTCTACCGTAGAGGCTTGCGGTAAAAAAAGTTATTACTAAAACGGCCACGAGAAAAACCTGGAAAATATTTTTAAGTTTCTGAAAGGGTCGCTAGGGGGCGTAACTGCAATCTGGAATCTAAAAGTGATGTTTCTGTGAATTCCGCTATATTAACCTAACAAAAAATGCCCGTTCTTTGAAGTCGACGATAATCTGAACCTTTTTTCTTTGACAATTATTGCTGTATCTCTAAAAATAAAGTGGTGGGGGGTATTCAAAGGTTTCCGTAAAGAACACCCTGTATATTCGAAACCGCTGAGCCGATTTTAACAAACTCACATAATTGAAAAGTTATTCTTTTTTTTTCCATATAATAACAGAAACTATTTCCTAGGAAGTAACGATCTATTTGTGTCTGTCTTTTAGGATTCCTACGCGCGTGATAGCTAAGTTTGTCCCAATGGACGTCCTTAGTTGTTTTTGGATTTATGTCAGCTCGAACGGTTTAGTCCTCTTGAGCCGCCTGGACGCCTCTTCATTGATGTGTAGTTTTATTCTATTTGCATGTGAGAGTTTTTCTTCGGCTACAAATATTATAATATTTGAAGTTTTGTTAGTTTCACATATCGCCGCTTGAGGGCTTTTTTCGTTATTCCGACAGAACTGGTTAATTTTCTCAAAAAATTTAAATGCATTGTTCGACTTTTTTTCATGAAAAAGTAGCTAAATGATGCCTAAACAAGCTCGCGAAAACCGCATCTCGATATCTTGTTCCTAACCTAAAATTTAGACACATAGGTTCTCAGATACAGTATCCCGCATTCTTAGTGGTCCACCCTGTATTTTCGAATTTACAACCACGACACTATATCAGGAATCAGCCACTAGCTGCTAATTACAGAAAACTATATTAACGTTTCTTGCAACTCCAACAAATCCCCACTAGATGGTTCCACAAGCAAATTGTCCACATCCACATAAATTCAAATTTACCGCTACAAAATGGCAGACATCCCTGTTAAGGAGAGGGGCACATTGAGACACACAGAACACAGCCCACGCAAGCCCGGGAATGTACGGTACAATATGAGCGCATGTCACCTAGTGCTGAAAACAAGTGGAAATTTTGATTTTAAAAAAGACTGCCTTTTCGATTTAAAAAAAAATTAATTATTGACCGCCTGCGTGCGGAGTATTATGTACAAACAAGCTTCGGAAACTTTTCGTCATGTCAAGGGTCACTGAATATAATTATAAGATCAAATGGACTTACCTTACCTCATAAATGGATAAATAAAAAAAAATGAAATAAACCACCTGTAAAGCGGCAGAGCGGTGTGAATCAGTCCAAACGTTTGCTAGTTACCGTGTTCACAGACTAACAAGACACAATCGACTCCTCTAAATAGCTTGCATTGTTTTGCTCTGCCGCTTAATAACGCTACCTTGATCTATGGTGTTCCAAAGCTCTCTAAAACTCGAGTCAATAAATCTAGAGAGTAGACTTATTGTTTTTTTCTCGCTCGAGACGATACTTAGATGATGTCTACTCACCAAGTGGTATTCGTACTGTTTGAGTTGGAACAGCGATCGATGGACACGCGTCCACTGCTACTCTGGGCGCAGATGGCGAAAGCAGCACCTGCTCACATTCTGACGCAGCGGGCGGCGGTAAATTCCGCTTCTCTGCAGACAAGCACCGTGTACACGTGAGCTTACAAAATGACAACTTACCGATAACTGGAACGGTTGGGATAACTACAGGCGCTCTTGTCGGACGGACGTCCGCGCGTTCGGGTGACGCGGGCGAATCCGGAATCGCGACTGATTTCGGCGGTTGTAGGATGTGAACGCTAAGAATTTTGATCTTGCCCGTTTCAGCCGAGGGTTTCTCATGGGTTTTCGGAGTGTGGGCGATCCGTCTCTTCTTCGCGAAAACGGGCGGTTCTTCCACAACGGTCGACGTGTCGTGGCGCACGGCGGGCACGAAGAGACGCTTCCGATTCATTCGGGTCAAGCTGTGCCCTCTACACGCGACGCAGGGCAGTTGCTCTATGACGATCCGCTCCTCGTTCTGTCTCTTTCTTCTTGTGGCGTACGAGCGCGTCACCGATCTGTTAATGTCGGCGCACTTCTTCAGCAGCTGCTCGCTTTTCCTGGGCGCGGCGACCCGTTTCTGCTGCCGAACCAAAGTGACGATCTTATCGTCGTCGAATCCCAGCGTGAACTCGTCCACGTTCTTCTTCTTGCGCGGCGTTTTGGACGTTCGCCTTTTACGTTTCGCCGCCGGCAATTTCGGCGCGAAAATTTTACTCGAATTTACGTCTACGAGGGCGTTAATCCACTCTTCGTCCGATGAGGTGTTATGCGAGCAAAAGGCGCTGTCTCTGCTCTCGCATAGTGTGTCTTGGGACAGCTCGGAGGATAAGTCGGATCGCGTTTCGTCGATTATTTTATTTGTATCACAGTCGGTCGTACTCGTTGGAGGGATTTCGGTCTTGACCGGTTTAGGACTATCAGCTTGTTCTAGGCTATCATTCATTATTTCGGTAGACAAGTCGGCGGTTACCTGATTTTCCGAGGGAAGTTCGGAATCCGTATTGATTTCCGTGCAAATGACACCATCGACCATGCTCCCATGGTCCTCGGTTACCGGATTTTCCGAGTCAAGTTCAAAATCCCCATTGATTTCCGTGCAATTGACACCATCGACAATGCTTCCATGGTCCTCGGTTACCGGATTTTCCGAGTCAAGTTCAGAATCCAAATTGATTTCTGTGCAAATGACACCATCGACAATGCTTCCACGGTCCTTGGTTACCGGATTTTTCGAGTCAAGTTCGGAATCCGCATTGATTTCCGTGCAAATGACACCATCGACAATGCTTCCATGGTCCTCGGTTACCGGATTTTCCGAGTCAAGTTCAGAATCCGCATTGATTTCCGTGCAAATGACACCATCGACAATGCGTCCACGGTCCTCGGTTACCTGATTTTCCGAGTAAAGCGTAATCATTTGTTCGGAATCCGCGCAAACGCCATCATCGACAATGCTCCGAAGGTCCTCGGCGTTGAGGCATTCTTCGACACTCACTGTCGAGGCTGGTAGCACTTCTTCTTTAAATTGCTCGGATTTGGCTAACTTAATTACCTCATTTGTACTTAAAGTAGGAACTTCAGTCTTCAGATCCTCCTCGAAACTTGAGTTTAAAACCGTTTCAGAGCAGATTTCTTCATAATTGAGTTTATCGCCGGAAAAATCCGGTTTAACATCCGAAAACTCGGAATTTGAATGATCTTCCATCTTCTGACACGATTCAGCTTTGGAATCTGCCACCATGTCAGCAGGATTGGACGATTTAGCGTCATTGAGACTGTTGATAGCATCAGAATGGCTGATCGTTTCTGAAACTTTGGAGACGATTTCAGCAATTCCTTCGGCATTAGGGGGACTTTCCAAGTGTGCAGTCACACTTACAATTGATTCTATTTCGTTTTCAATATCACTAGGCGGTAGCACTAGACTTTGTCCATTTAATTTTAATTTATCACTAGCCAATCCTGCAAAAATAAAATACGAAGGTTTTATATGACTTTAATCCAAGACAAAAGAAAAACAAGCATAACGATTTTAGTTTTCTAATAGTATACGAAAAACCAGGATTCAAACCGGCAAGTTGAAAGAAAATATTAACGTGATAACGGATTGTGCCGCTCAACCTCACATTCCACAAAAGGGCATTGTTGGACTGTCGAATTTGGAGATTTCATTCCGGCTATTTAGATAAGTATAATTAACCGTAATTGGCTTATAGATAACAACCGCCGATTAAGTCGAGATTATATCCGCGCTTAATTAATTTGAAGTTTGAAACCGATTCTATATTTTTCCGGTGTACCAGGTGACCCAATAAGACGGTTCCTCGGTCATATCTCGAGAACCGTCCGTCATATGACTTAGGGGGAAAAAAAATTATTGGGTAAATCGGTCATGAAGAGTCGCTGGAAAATATTTTCAAGTTCAAAAATGACTAACAGAGGGCATAACTGCCATCATAATGTTTAAAATTGCATTTTCATTAAATTTCGCATAATAAACTAAAACAATTTTTTTCACATTTCTAAAGAGAACCAGTTTATTTATCATTTTCGTAAAAACAAAAACTCAGTTATTTCAAAAACAAAGATGGCGTGGGGCGTTCAATTGTTTTTGCAATATCCTGCTTTAACTTCTTAACCGTTTGACCGATTTTAACAAATTTAGTACGGTTTAATTTTCCAAGGCCTACCTAAAAGTGTAGGGCGCTTTTCCAAACAATCGTTCGCGCCATCGACATAAACCGGAAATACGTCAAAAGTAAATTTAAGATACAATTTGTTTTGTTTTTACGAAAATGATAGATAAACTGGTTCTCTTTAAAAATGTGAAAACAATATTGTTTTAGTTTATTACGCGAAATTGAAAGAAAATGCAATTTTAAACATTAAGATGGCAGCCCTCTGTTGGTCATTTTTAGACCTTGAAATTATTTTCCGCGATTCTTCATTACCGATTTATCCAATAATTTTTTTACCCCTAAGTCACACGATGAACGGTTCCCGAGATATGGCTGAAAAACAGTCTTATTGGGTCACCCGGTACAAGATTGGAAGTCTAGTTTATGCTTGACAAAATAATAAGCGCAAGTAATCAAACAGCATAGATTACGTTTTTAATTGAATTATTTAAATTACCAAACTAAAAAATGCAATAATGGGTGCTAAAAAAAAATGCAAAAAACTGAACAAAAATGTGAAAATAATTAAATCCTGCTTAAAATTTTGATTTTTTCGAATTTTCCAAATTCTCAATTTTTCGCGTTGCTGCAATTTCTTAATTTTTTCAGAAATTTTCTGTAATTAAAATTTTTTTTCTACAAATTGTTTTTTTTGGAATTTTTGGTCGAATTTTTTGAATTCGCTAAAGAATTTTTTTGTTTTCCCAGTGTTTTCAAATTGTTCTTAAATATTGTACACTTTCAGTTGGAATTTACAAATTCTATTTTATGAGGTAATTTTTAAAATTATTCCTAATTTGTCCAATTTTTTATTAATAATAATAATAATAATAAAGTTTATTTGTTTAAGTACATACTTTTACAAATTTTACATCTTTCACGAAAAATACGAGATTAAAAAAATGCATAACAAATCAACATTCTCAAAATTCTTACAAACAAGTATAAATGGTCGTGGAGGAGGGCTATAGTTGGTAGAAATTAATTCCATTTGTTGAGACCTTTCATTAGAGTACCATGAAGGATAAAACTAGTTCCACTACCTCCACTCCGTACTTTGATAAGGGAACAGAAAGAAGGGCAGTAGTTGGTAGGAAACGGTTCCTTTCGATGAGACCTTTCATTAGAATACCATGAAGGGTAAAACATGTGCCCCCCCCCACTTCCTAAAGTTTAACTTAGCACCACTAAACAGCATCTTAGGAAATAATTCGTGGGGGAGCCCCCCTTTTTAGACAGCGAAATTTGATCGCCGTCTGACACACCTTCAAGGTATAGGCTACCTACTATAAAAAATTCCAGTACTCTAGGACCATTCCCCTAGAAGTAGTTCAAAACGGTAGAAGTGGGTCCGGACGGACGGACAAAACGCAAACAATAGCACATTTTTTTTAATTCTTAAAAAATGCGCTAAAAACTGGACATGGATGAAATGGCATCTGAATCTGGATTCGTTATTTTCATGTTTAATTTTGGAATTATGAAACTTTACGAATTTGAGATTATGACAATTTGAGATTTTGGGAATTTAACATACCTACTGAGATCTTGAAATTTTTAGAATTTTCAAATTTTCGTACTTGCCAATTTAGATTTTAGAGATTGAGTTTGATATTTTTCTTAATCTCGAGAACTGTGATACTGGGATTTTTCAAACGTTTGGAGTTTGAAATTTGAGAATTTTTCAATTTTTGGGAATTTTTAATGTTTGAATCTTTGGAAGTTTGAGATCATATGACATTTTTTGATTACGCAATTCAGAAATAATTTTGGGAAATGTTTTGCGATTTTCGAGCTTTGAAATTTGGGATTTTGTAAAGTTTGGGAATTTGTGATTCTACAATTTTGAGATTGTTGGAATTTTTGGAAGTTAGAATATTGGGGATCCTGAACTTTTGGGTACGGTATTTGAGATTTTTCAAAATTAGAAATTTGCAAATGTTAACAATTTAAGAAAATGGGATTTTGAGATTTCAAGCTTTGGTAATTTGAGATTTTTGATGTCTTAGAAACGAAAAAGACTTGGGGATTTGCGATATTGTAAGAATTTGCAATTTTGGGATTTCAAGAGTTTTGGGCATTCGAGAATTCTTGATTTTGAGTTTGAGAAAACAATAAATATGAGAAAAAAAAATAGTAGGTTGGGGCAGGCAATTTATTGTTCATTCTGTTTATAATAACGATTGAATTAACAAATCAAGAATATGCAGAGATGCATTTAATTTATAGACTTGTCGATGGCAATTGTTATAAAGCAACACTGTATGCACAAAAGTATCCACAATTTCCATCGATGGTTATTTTTTTAAGTAAATCGAAAACGGTGACAGATACGCGAATAGTGCAAGAGACCAGCAAATTTCATACAGGGTGCTCCAAAAAAGTTCTGAAAGATAAAATTGAAGCCAATTCAAGAATGAAACAATTACTTTATTGTAGGGATCTAAAAAATAATTGATATAGGTATCAAATTTGAAACAATGATCACAGAACATAAGACGAAACTGAGAACTTAAAAAAGTGAAAAATCTAGGATTTAATATGCAAAACTGCGAAAAATGTCACTGTTTATATACAGGGTGTCCCATTTTCGACACTTATAGGATACCACAATAATTGTTAGTGCTATCAAAAAAGTTTTTGGGTCAAAATTAAATGGTAAAATCAAAATATTCGCTCGCTTAAAAGATACAGGGGAAAATCAAAAAATTGTCAATTTTAGAATGACCCTATATTTTGTTTGCTAAAAGATACAGAAAAATGTTTGTTTATTAGATAAAAATCATTGTTGAATAATCTGCCGTTTTTAAACTAAGTAAACAGGGTTAGCTAAAACACTTATTGGACCTAACCTCATTTTTTTAAATGGTACACCCTGTATATTTTATTCTAAAAAGATACCAATTTAAATTCTTTTTTAAGAACTGTAACGCGCTAGGGAGATTCAAGTAATTCAAAGAGAAAAAAAATTTCAAAAAGATTTTTGAATTTTTGTTAAATCTTTGTTGAATTTTTTTGAACCAATATTGATTTTTTTAAAATGTTATAATATGTTTGAAAAGAGAATTTAGTGTGCTATCTTTTTAGAATAAAACATACAGGGCGTTCTATTTAAAAAATAATATGGTTAGGTTCAATAACTTTTTTATCTGACCTCGTATAGGTACTTATTTTGAAAGCAGATTATTCAAAAATCGAAATTAGAAGAAAAAAATGCGAAAAAAACTATGAAAATAAAACAGCCACTATCCACATACTCTATCAACTTTGAAAATATTTTCTTTATAAAAATATGTACAATTTTTCTTTATTTATAGAAAATCAATTTGTCTCTTACCTGATGTGATTTTGATAGTAAGCATACGGGGTGTTTCAAATAAGTTTCTTACTGTCATTCAATTGAGAATTAAAAACATAAAAAAACAACAAAAAAACAAAGAATTCAAAAAATCATAATACATACATCACGTAAGATTGGACGCAATGGATAATATAAGATAAAGAAATAAAAGATTGAAAAACCTAAATGCTGAGCTAAATGGCTTATAGATCTGAAAATAAACTGAATCATGAAAAATTCAAAAAAGGCGTCCAAAAATCACAAGAAGATTGAATAAGGGGAACAAATGATACTCAAAATTCAAAGCTGAAAATTTAAAAAAAATGCAACAATTGAGAATTAGGTACTAAGTACAATGAAATAGAAAAATAATGGCAAAAGAAACCAAATGATACAAAATAAGTGACAACATTTTAAAATAAATTGAAAAATGTAAGAGGTGTTAGAAAAAATGCAAAAAAATTTAAAAAAAAGAGTGGGGTATGTAGTAAAACACTGATCTGTGCTCGGCTTGGTTTCTGAGATACAGGGCGCCCAAGAAAAATATTTGATTTGCTTATATTTTTGTTCAGTAACATGGCAATTGGACGAAATTCAGGATACTGGGTATATTGATGACGAGAAACTCAAATATTAACTTATTTTTTGTTTAATGTTAGAGGGCGCTACATACAGTGTTATTCCTGAATTTAGTTAATCATAACTTTTTTTTATATATCTTAAAATTAGTCAAAGAATCATCCTTTCAAGTTTGTAAGTACTTAATTAACACCCTGTATAGTAGAAAAAATGTACATAGTGCCCCCCGCCCTCTATAAATATTAGTCATGCGCACATCTTTAACCCCCCCCCCCAATAACAGTTTTTCCCAAACTGTTGCTAACTTTTTTAGGGGGGGTCAGTTTTGGTCGCATACTGGTGATATCACCTTGCAAGAACATTTGTTACTAACTTCATGTACCTCAAATAAACAAAATTTTCATAATGCATCCAATCATGGATAATGTTAGGTGCCTGTGGTTTTACATACAGGGTGTTCCGAATAAGTTTGTTACTGTCATTCATAAATATACTTGCCTGTTTTAAAAACAATTGCAAGTACTGTTATCTTCACCATAAGTGAACTATGCCTACTTGATTGCTAATACTCACCAATTTCTTCCTGATCGGTGCTCCCCTCTACTTCAGTTCCAAAGCAGGGAGCCAACTCAGGCATGGGAGACGGTATTGGAGACACTAAATTGAAACGCCTCGTCGACTCCATAATTATTTTAAACAGCTCCGATTCAGATTCATCTGCATCCTCCGATCTGTACTTACTCTTATCGAATACTGCGCTTTTAACTCCTCCCCTTTCAGAGAGAGGGGAGTGAGTAACTGTACAAGTCTCCGTTACACTATCAATCTAGAAAATTACGTTAAATCGCAATCTAAACCACGGATTACAAATTACATCACAGTTATACTTTGGCGACCCGCCGCTTACTTCATACTTCTGTACAACCCCTCTAAGCTCCAACAGCAAATTGTGTAGGGGACTACCAGAGTGTTTACGAAGATCGTTCACCTACAACTATACATCAGCACGGGGTATCGACAAGTCCCACTTACCTCGACCCGTAAACTATCGCGCTCCCTGCTTACGCTAGTCAACTGAAGCTCGAGACTCAAAAATTTCCTGAGCAAGTCGTCGTGCTCCCCCTTGAGCGTCACGTACTCGCTACGATGTGACACAACCGCCTGTTGTTGCGCGGCTTCCAACAGTTCCACCTTGCGACTTAGATAATCACGCTCTTTTGTAACGTCAACATTTTTAGCTTGCATCTCGGCGTACTTCGATTTAAAACCCAAGTACTCGTCGACCTACAGGAGACAATTACATTAAGCAATTAGGGGGAGAAGTACGTACGGTTTGCTGCAAACGTTCACTGTGATTACGCATTTCATTCAGTTCAGTCTGTAGCGTGTCCAACTGTTCGCTGCTCGAAATCAACTCGGACATCACCTTATTCTCGTTCCTCAACTCGTCACATTGTGTTACCAAGTCGTTGTATTTACTGTTTAAACTGTCCTTGTCCTTGCAGGAAGTTTGATAACGTATAAGCGACTCATTAATAAACGTGTTGTACTCATCTTTGGTGGTCGACAATTGTACCCGCAACTCGTCTCGTTCCTTACACACGGATTCGTACTGTCCGCTGGGGACCACGCTGCCACGTAAAGCAGCGCATTCCTCTCTTGTTGCCTTCAACGACAGCAGGCTGCGATGGTACTTGCGTTGTAATCTAAGGTTACTGTTCTTCAAATCGGAGAAGTTCTGATACACTTGGCTGAAAACGCCGTTGGGTTAAGAATATCGTGCCAATGCGCTTGTACTTACTCGATATCGTTGATTTTGGCGTGCAGATCTTCTTGGCTCATGTACATTTTTAAAAAACACACACGAATCTAACCTCACTTTTTTCGGTTTGCGGCTACAGTTTGGAATTCGACGTGATTGTGATCCTGGAAGCGCTTTGTACTGAAAAAGTGCTTGAAATTGAAGCTGAGAACATTCTGTACAAGTTCATCACACGATTTTTAACTTAATTTTGGTTGTTTTGAAAAATGTGTGCAGAACGTTTCAAAACGTTGTTGGTAAAACTATGGGTAAAACAGCCAATCGGACTGCCGCCGATAATCAGGTTTGCCAATCGCAAGGTGTCACCATATATATAATATATGGGTGTCACAATCTCAAACAGTCAAAACACCCTAAAATCTATTAGGTATACAAGGTGTCCCAACCAAACTTAAGCCTTCTAAAAAATATAAATATAATTAGTTTCTTTATACAGCTTGCCCGGGTAATCTAGGCATATTTTATAAAAGCATTTCAGAGTGTAATTTTACAGCGTTATACCTTTCAAGGACATATTCTAGCGCTGCAACAGTTTTCCAAGCCTTTCGGGATCTTTCCGGATTCTTTGCGCCTTCCGCCGCTTTTCAGGCTCGCTTTAGAAGTAGATGTAAAGTGTTCACGAAAATACCTAACGGTAAAGCTTCTCATTGCAGAGGTCAAAGGCGCGTTACAGAACAATCAAGTTTTTTAGGTACCTTCCAGAGTCCGTAGGACCCTTTCCAAAGCTTTTCGTATCTTTCACAGAGTTTACAAAATCTGTTCGGGGCAAAGCGGGCATTTTCTAGAGGCTTTTAGCTCCCTAAAGAACACTACACGCGTTCTAGAACAATCCACACTACTATACTTACACCTTTTCCAGAGCCTTTGCCGCTATGCTGACCTTTCTACTGCCTTCTCTAAGTATTTTAGGCAATTTTCATCTCTCAGAAGTGCCATTTTCCAAACCCTCAGGGTTTCTCCAAGGGTTTTATCTTTCGCGAGGTCCATTTTAGAGCTTCATAATTTCTTTACAGAGTCTTTGAAGTTCGGCTGATTGCGGAAACGACATAGGAAGCTTTCTAAGTGAAGGTGTAAACAGTTCACTGAAATCACGTATGTGGTATTTAAAGACGTTTCGAAACCAAAAAATGTTAAAGCTGTCTGGAAACTTTCCAGAATCTTTAGGGTCTTTAGATCCATGCTGGAAGCTTTCGGGGCGTTTCAAATTCCGTTGCAGGGGCCTTTAGGTACGCTCTTCAAGCACGCGTTATTCTGAAACTAGGTGAACTGAAAACGGAGAGGTCCTCAGGGATTCGTGGAATACGCCGTTCAGAGGTTTATGGATAGGAGTTTATTTGGAAATAGTTACCTAGGAATGCGTTCCAGAACAATCGAAGGTTTTTCAGAGCTGTCTAGGGGGTTTAGCGACCCTGTTAAGCTTTCAACAGCGATTAGAGACCGCATTTTACAGTGTCCTCTATTTTAAGAGCCATTTCTAGAGTATTCTAACATTATTTTGATGTTCCACAAATGATTTAGTCATTTCAAGACAGTCACTCTAGGTCTTCCATGGGAAACGTTTAAGGGGTTATGGACCGGTTCTTAAGAACCTTCAAGCATGGGTTGGAACCCATACAAAATATAGGTTCCGGTTCCGCACTATTTAGGTAGAATTATTGTTAAGGGTTCCGGTACCGGTTCCGGTTCTGTGGCTTCAGTAATTTTCGGTTTCGGTTCCGGTTCCAATTTTTCTCGGTATTTAAGGGTTCCAACATAAATAAATTAAATATTAAATATAAATTAAAGTACATTGATTCTTTTACATACATATTGTTTAGGGTTAATTGAAACTTATTTTTAGTCCATTTCACTACTGTCAACTGCCTGTCTTTTTCTACTTTCCTTTCCTTCAGCGGTATACTTTCAACTATTATGCTTTCCTTATACATTTCTCAACCCTCTTACAGTTTTTGATTCATTTTCGGTATTAGTCATGTAAAACACACGAGTTCCCAATAACCGTTTATGATTCACAATAATTAATACGTATAATACTCTGAAAGTAAAAATTAACACAACAGAGATGCGAGGAGTGCCACCGCAAGCCGGATACTGCCGATCACCGCGCCGTCCGAGTGCTTGTCGAGATTTCCCCGCTCTCCCTAAATCGCGCAGCGCTTACAGTCACTCTAAAATATTTTATAATTGTTTGGTATTAAGGTTAAGTTGTTAGAAATTAGTGGATAGCTCTAAATAAAAGGGCGAATTTGGATTTTTGGTTTTTGAAATTTAATATCTCGGAAACGAATGCAGATTTTATAATTATTTGAATTTTGTTATCAATGTAAGCTAGGGCTATATCGAGGGCCAAATATTTTGTGAAAAGAGTTTTTAAATTAAATGGGCCGCCGCCAGGTGGCGCTACCTAACTTATTTCTTTTAAATGGAATACGATAATTTTTATTCGATTTTTGGAATTTAGTACAAGATATTTGCGATAACTTTACTTATATGTGCTCCCAACCCGTCCCGTTTACATAAATGAGATATATGACCCTAGCTTACATTTACATATAACAAAGTTTTAAGAATTTCAAACCTTATATTCGTTCCCGTGATATCGGGCTGTCCTATTCCTCGCTGAACATCCTGTAGATAAGCAAAATGAATAATAATAAATCTAAGAAAAATGCATCAGAATCAAATATTAAGAGCATATAAAACGCAATTCCCCCCACACATAGCGCAACGTGCCTACTCACTCTAAGAGAGATAAAACCGAAAAATACCGGTTCTTTGGCACTAATAATAACGGTAGGTACCGGTATCGGTTCCGGTTATCATAACTTCTTAAATAACAATTCCGGTACCCAGTGAGGGGCATTTTAATGCAATCGGTTCCGGTTCCGGTACGGGTTCTTTTCGGTTCTGGTTCTAATCCCTACTTTCAAGCGCTCTGGTCTCTGGAACTTTGCAAACTCTATGCAGAACACTATAAACTTCTCATTAGGGCTATGTAGGCCCAAACCAAACCTTCCGTACGCATTTTAGGGTGTAGTCTAGGGCGTTTTGTCTTTTAATGGACTTATGGCCGTTTGCACCGACAAATTTAAGCGGAGCTTAGCTCAAGCGTAGCTTAAAATCAATGGCAACGACTATTCAGACAATGGTTGTCATGGATTTTAAGCTACGCTTAAGCTAAGCCCCACTTAAATTTGTCGGTGCAAACGGCCATTAGGCTTTTCCTAGGGTATTCTAGCGCTGCAAATGCATGTTCCAGAAAACGTAAAAGTTTTCTAGATTTTTTTCTACTCTTCTGTACGTATTTCGAGTGCATTTTAAGCGTCTTATAGTGTTTCTTAAAGCATTGCAGGTCTTTCTCGGAAACTCATGTCCATGAACCTAGCAGAGCAAGGTCAGCAGAACACAATCAAACATATTGCATAATTAGGTGCTAATTAAGTGCCCTAGTCCTGAATTAAATGATCTTTTTTTTTTAAAATTATAACATGTTTTGCCAGGTTCATATGAACTCAGCAGTTCACTACTTTTAAAACCCAAAAAAATGAAAAGTGGACTAACTATAATTAGGTGCTAATTAGATGCTAATTAAGTGTCCTATTCCCGAATTAAATGCTCTTCTGCCAGGTTCATAATTTAAAAAAGGAGCATTTAATTCGGGAATAGGACACTTAATTAGCACCTAATTGGCACCTAATCATGCAATATGTTTGATTGTGTTCTGCTGACCTTGCTCTGCTAGGTTAATGGACATTTTTTCAGACTTGCCCGACTGTAGAAACACAGCGTGTAAAGGCCGAAAAAGGGGTATAAGGAATCTTTTAATTGCAGAGCAAGTTTTCAGCCTTCTCTCACTGAAATAATTTTACAGACCTTCAGGAGTTTTTCGAGTATTTTCTAGACTCTAGGTAGAGCATTGGGCGCCTTATAGAACTTAACAGCGCCATAACGGGACAGAGCTCTTAAAGGCCCTTTTCAGAGCTATTCTGGCATTTGCAAAGGTTTTCTAGACATTTCGTGAGCTGCTTTCCGGGCGCTTTTTAGAGCTTTCTTTCATAACATTTCAAGTGTTTTTTAGACCGTTCCATGCTTGCTTGACAGGGGAGGGCGCATACGAATTAAGCTCTGGTAGAAGGTGTAAAAAATACGAAAACACACATGTGGGATTTGGTAAAATCTTCTAACCACACAGTTCAAAGGTGTTTTAATTTTTAAGGCACAGCATTTTTGCATAACGTTCTAAAGCCGTTAGATCCTTTTGTGGTTTTTTAGATCACCGCTGGAATCATCTACGCCTTTTATAGAATGTGTAGTGTACTTAACCCCCAGCTTCTACACTAACTTCACACTACAAGAAGTAAAGTCAACCCGGCAACGTTTAAAAATGGCCACCCGAATGACTATTCCCTGCAAAACTAAACAAAATCCCGCTTAAATTTGAAAAGTAGCACGTGATCAAAGATTTAAGGCTGGGCCTCCTTACATTAGTTGTAGACAACGCTTTGACTTGAAGCACAGTAGGGAAGGAACGTAAAATAAAGCTCTGAAATTGTGAAAAGTTTGATTAATAATGATCGCAATTATTAAGATTGTGAAAGCTCGGAAATTTAAGTTGAACAAATTACATTGCAAAAATAAACTTTGAAAATGGTAGTTCAACGAATAAAAATAGAAATAGGCTGGGAAAAAAAAGAACTTACCAACAAAAAAACCAGCCGTCAAATTAATATCAAGTTGTGTTGTAAAATTAATTGTTTGTAATGATGTGAATGCGTAAGATAAAATTATAGCATCACAAAAACTAGCAGGTGAACTGCAAGAGGTAACATATAGGTTATAAACAAGTTTTGGGAATTATGGGTCAGGTAAGCAGGTACTAAGATTCTAAGAAAGGGTGAAATACACAGGTTGTGACTCATCTTTGGTGCAATAAATTCCTTTTGTTAAAAGCAAGATGGAAAATTACATGGCCTTGTAAGCCAATTCAACAAAAAACAAGATATGTGGAAATTACGAATCGTAACTCATTTATCGCACATAGATTTTAAACTGAAGAGCTTTGATTAGCGTAATCCTGCTCCTGCAAAATAGGTAGTGTCGCCCCTCGTTCGGGGTTTCGAGCCTACAGTTGAATGTCGAAGACAATCACGGAATTAGGTGTCGTAGAAAGTGGTTAATTACAAACAACAAGTCAATACATACATCAAACGAATCGGTTATTTCCACAAATTAAAATAAAATGATCAAAACTTATATGAATGTTACTTCAGGGACAAGACCAAGTAATCAACATTAATAAACATAAATTAAGCAATCAGTAAACCAAAAACGTAAACAATTATAAACAAAAGGATAACGGTATTAAACGTTTCATTCTGCATTGCGGTTAAACCAAGTAAATTTCAAAAACAAAGATTGAAACATACCAAAAGTATAAAATGCGGCATACAAATATGATATAAAGAAATGCAAAAATTACTACCTGCATTAAATATCACAAAATAACAACAATTATGGAGCGACGCGTTCACGACCGCCATTCAAGACAAGATGCCAAACATAACCCCCGTTTGTGCTTCCTGGATGGCGCAGGTAGTTTTTTCCCACCTAGAAATTGCATGGTTGCCAACTCTCAAAAAATGTAAGTATCGTCGTAAGTTGTATATACAGGGTGGAAGCTCTCAAATGTTACAGTTTTATGGACTCGCCTACTAAGAGAGAGGATATAAGTCAAAAACTTTAGCAAGGTGAAGTGTTGTGTGTAAAGCGAAACTTCGATATTTTGTGTGGACTGTGTACGGAATGCATATGCTTCTTTTTGTACTTTTCACCAACCAAAACTTTGGCCTTACTTCAGCAACTGATTTCTCGGGTACTTTGGAATGAATTTACGGTACCATGTGGCACGTACATTTTTGGGTGGTTCCATTGTTATTGCCCCCACTTTCTCAGGGCCTTTCGGGGAAATTTAGGCGGCTCTCGGCATTTTTAAGGGGACAACGCCACAAAATTCTTGTCTGGAATAAACTTATTTGATGTCCATAGAAATAAGCACTATCATTGGCACTAGTCTGTGCCGACTGCTACTTATGATTTGAATCCCGAATTCACTTGAAAGTAGGTCAACTCGATCTTCTTTGCTACAACGTGAATCTCCCGAAAATATTTGGACTAATAGTATTGAGAAGTGGAGCTGAGTGTTGACAGTTGTACAAAGGGTACCGAGATCTACGACAATTAAGGCAGTTTGTAAAACCATGGTGAAATAAATTATTGACCACAGTTCATATAAACATTTTTATTTATACACTATATTAATATTATTCTCAGTCCCATGTTTAACATACAATTCAAAATTTAATTTCCAGCTCGGTTTGACCCGCTTAGTTATCCACTAGCAGCAATTCCGTTTATTTTTCTCATTTACAGCCCTCCTCGCATCATCTTAACAATTGAAGTAAATAGCACATTTATGAGTTTCAACATGCATTACAAAGCCGCCCAGCATTTCTGACGGGCAAATTTGTATTTTAATAAACATTAACTGTTAGTGAATCATTTTTTTTTTGCTTATGGATTCTTGTCGAATAGGTACTTGCACTTAAAAGTATTTTGTGCAAAGGTGATCTCAAACAACTGATTATCAAATATATATCACGACACTTAAAAGCTGCTTACTTTACATAACAAAAATACTTTCTCCTAATTACACATTTAAGAATTTACCCTTTCATTCGCGCGACCACGTTTTGCCTTAACGAATATGAAATTTAAGCCTCTTTTACACCACACCTTTCATCTTAAGATACACTTACATATATTTACAATAATTAATACTGCATTACAGATTAAGTAGAAATTGAAAGCTTTCTAGGCTAGAGTTTATTTACATCCAAAAATAGCATCCGTACGTATTAATGGCAGGTTTAACATTTATGGGAATTTTTCACAACGTACTCGTATAATGAACTTGAAGGGAACGTAATAGTCTACAGTAACAATTATATACGAACAAGTACTAGAAGAAAGAATTATTTAGTCATCATAAAGCAAAAGCGAACCGAGTAATAGGTATTAGGCTATTTGGACCCTCTTACAGAAACTTAACCATTTAATACGAATGTTAAAACACCGCATGCCTCGCCGCCTTCCTTACATAAGCGTAGAAATTTCCCAAAATGAAATAAACAACAATAAAAGCGGTGTTCCAACAAACATATAAGAACTACACCTTATAAAAACACCTTCGCTCGGCAAAGAGCCGAAGTTGTCGCACAAGGGGTTGATAAATAAACTATCTAATCTATGAAACAATTTAACCATCAACTGGTAGAGTTACCATGAGAGATTGGTGGCGCTATGCGAACAAACTACACCAGTAGATAGCCGAAACTATAAATTATTCTTAATAATAATACAATAGAGTAAGTGCACATTTAACAGCAAAATAGGTGAAAACTCTACCTTTTGGAGTTTCGTGAAGAAACTGTAAAATGTAAAGCACCTTCGTTTGGTGTAATGTCCAATCAGTGATTCTAATTGTATAGAAAAAAAAGGTACTTAAACAATAAGTGAGCGTTAACTTAGTAATTATATTAAAGTGTCTAGAATGGTACATGATATAAGAAGAAAGCTGATTGGCCTCCAGGTGGCGCTCAACGAGAAGATTCGGATTCCCAAGTCTCGAACTTCGTTATCTGCAACAGGAGTTTGGGGTCATTTGTGGACGCCTAGGGGTCCGTGAAAGTTGGAGCGTCCATATGAAAGGAATTAAGTTCCAAGTATCTCATAATTTTGTGCTGCTATTTAAAATTTTGTGCTCATCAGGTTAATGAGTACCTAATTCAACTTTTTCTGATGACACTCCAAATTCACGCTGGATTGTCAACATGGATATTTTCAAAATTTTCTTTTACTATAATTTTGTGTTCATTTTGTGCTGATAATTTAAAATTTTGTGCTCATCACGTTAATGAGTAATTCATTGTTTTCTGATGACACTCACTTCACAACTTCGCGCTGTAGTGTCAACATTGGTATTTTTAAAATTGTTTATTGCGTTAATTTGGTCTCATTTTGTGCTAATTTGTTCTGCTAATTTACAATTTTGTGCGAGTCACGGTAGAGTTTCAAATTTTTTGGGATGTGCCGCCAGTTTATCACTGCAGTGTCAACATAATAATTATATATTTTAAACATTTCATTTTATTTACGTTTTGTGCGAATTTATATAAGTACGTACCTATGTACAGGGTGGCCAAATAAGAATGCGAGGTACTGTATCTGGGAACCTGTCCATCGTAGAGGTTTGCGGTAAAAAAAAGTTATTACTAAAACGGCCACGAGAAAAACCTGCAAAATATTTTTAAGTTTCTGAAATGGCCGCTAGGGGGCGTAACTGCAATTTGGAATCTAAAAAAGTGATTTTTCCGTGAATTCCGCTATATTAACCTAACAACAAAATGTCTGGTCTTTGAAGACAACGATAATCTGAACCTTTTTTGTTTGACAATTTTTCCTGTATCTCTAAAAGTGGTGGGGAGTATTCAAAGGTTTCCGTAAAGAACGCCATGTACCTTCGAAACGGCTGAGCCGATTTTAACACACTCGGGTTAATTGAAAAGAGTTATTCTTCGGCTACAAATATTGCAATATTTGAAGTTTTGTTAGTTTCACATATCGCCGCTTGAGGGCTTTCTTGGACATTCCGACAGAAATGGTTAATTTTCTCAAAAAAATTAAATGCGTTGGTTTGATTTTTTTTCATGAATGATGCTTAAACAAACTCGCAAAAACCGCATCTCGATATCTTGTACCTAACCTAACATTTAGGCCAATGAAAATGTTATACCCTTATTATATAATTATATTTATTATATAAATTGTGGCCCTAAGGTGGATCGACTTAAAAAAGGAAGCTTTTAATGCCGCCGTAAATGCTCAAAATGCTGATACTATAATATATATATGCTGTTTTCGCGAGCTGTACATTGTGCGTTGGCCGTTTTCCTAGGTAACGACTCGACGGATTTTGTTCAAATTTTGTTATTTTGTTATGAATTGCTGTGTGCAATGGTATGCGGTCACTACACCACTCACAAAACACCCGCCCAGCTAGGTCAAAACAAATCAAAATTGAAACTGAGAATTTTATCATTTCTCCTTGTACACATCCAGCATCTGCTAAAAGAACAATCCTAATATTGACTTAAAATTTCTCAATTTGAGAGACTTGGTGGCCTCGATCAACTTCCAAAGAGTCAACCACACAAATTTGCATTAACACATAATTCTTGGCCACGAAAAGAAATTGACATGAAAAACTCTATCCGGGTGGCACAATGGGTTCGAATAAACACAATTAATTGATTGACACAACAAAACAAAAAGAAAAGCTATTAAAGTCCGTTTGGACATAATACACGGACGCAGGCGGGCAACGAATAAAAAAAGAAATCTTAAAATTACTTACAGTGTTTTTCTTAATTCAAATAATCCGGCCGAAATTAGCCACATAAGGCGCCCTTAACTCACTCACTGTTTATGAATTTATAACATTGCTCTCAATTTTCTCTCTAAATTTCCAACTGATGTTGGAAGACGCAATTATGGCCACTTTCTCAGCCAGTCCGTGCAAGGGCGCCACTACTCCTACAGGCAAGAAAAATCTTGACGATAAATGTGCGCATGCGCAGTTTGCGCAATGTCAACTTTCTTATTTATAGCGATATTTTTTTTGAAATTTTAACCACAGATGCTTTTAGTCAAGACAAGCATATTGCATATTCTAAAAATGAAATGTGCGCATGCGCAGATTGCGCAACGTCAACTTTCTCATTTATGAAGTTATTTCCTCGAAATTTTAACCGCAAATGTTTCTAGTAGAGACAAGAATATTGCATATTGTAAAAATCAGATGTGCGCAGGCGCAAACTACGCAATGCCAACTTGTTTATTTATGGACATCTATTTCTTTGAAATTTTAACCACAGAGGTCGCCACAGATGCCGCATATTATAAAAATGATATGCGTCCTTGGCCTACAGCAATAACATCCATTTATCCTAAATCAGTCTATTTCAAGCGCACTAGCCAATTACAAAATGGGAAAAAAATTTTTCTTATAGAACGTGGCCTGTAGAATCCATAATTTCAAACAGTTCCAAGATTGTGCTACTAGTTCAAAAGTTACAGCCCTCTGAATTTTCTTTGGAAATTGGTTTCTAGTCTATAACTTTTGATTGAGAAGTCTGATCGAAAAAGTACGAATTGTTTTGGATTCTACGCACCAAAATTAATAAGAAAAAGTATTTTCCCGAGAAATTTTGGTGCAGTCGATTTTTGGAAAAAAGGAAGGTTATACACTGCCTTTTTTTGGTCCCGAAGAAAAAATTGTCTCAGATCGACCCGGAAAAAAAATTTTCTTATAGAACGTGGCCTGTAGAATCCATAATTTCAAACAGTTCCAAGATTGGGCTGCTAGTTCAAAAGTTACAGCCCTTTGAATTTTCTTTCGAAATTGGTTTCTAGTTTCTTTTTTTTGAAGGACATTCCCTTTTGGGGTAGTAACAACCTAAATGGGAAAACAAAAAATAACTAGGACCGGGCTGAAGTTACATTCGTTTTTTTAAATCAACGGCCATCGAAAGTGATGGCACCGGGACCAATTCTCACCCCCTTTTTGGGAAATAGCCCTAAACCCCGACGAATTCGTCTCCGAAGTTGACGAATTGTGCAAGTGTGTGAGTGAGTGAGTTTTGCACGTGGAGGCCCAAGGGCGCACCTAAAACCCTCCACCTGTAGTTTTTCGAAAAGTGCCCCACAGTTCGAGAAATTCCCTTTTGTTTGGTCAATGGCGCGGTATACACTTTTCGAAAATTGACAGTTAGGGGGATTTAGGTGGGCCCTTGGGCCTCCACGGCGCCCTTATCCTCCGCGTGCAAAACTCACTCACTCACACACTTGCGCAATTTGTTAACTTCGGGAACCAATTCGTCGGGGTTTAGGGCAATTTGCCAAAAAGGGAGTGAGAATTGGTCCCGGTGCCATCACTTTCGAAGGCCGTTGATTTAAAAAAAAAACTTCAGCTCGGTCCTAGTTATTTTTTGTTTTCCCGTTTAGGTTGGTACTACCCCAAAAGCGAATGTCCTTAAAAAAAGGCGAATGTAACTTCAGGCTGGTTAACTGTAATGTAAAATTGCGATACATATCCCCATCTCACTCACCGAAGCTTCCCGCACCCCACAGTCCACAGTGGGAGCGGTGTGACTAATTAATCGAGTTGCGCCTCTTTATATTTCTCACTCGACGCTCTAATTTAAATTTAGTATTCTCGCTCTAATCTAGGCATTTCCGTTGCACAAAATTTTAAATTAGCAGCACAAATTATCACAAAATTATGAGATACTTGGAACTTAATTCCTTTCAAATCGACACTCCAACCCGACGCCTAGGTTAACTTACCGTTGTAAACGTGACGAGGAGTTTGCGGCCTGTCGGGGAACGCGAGATCTGCTTTGAAAAACCTGCATTAACACAGTCCCAAACAAAGTGCGCCACTACCTGAGTCGGTGGTTTGGAACGTGAACGCCTCGGAGATCGGACTCCATCCGTATTTATTCCGCGACTGTACCTTGGCCTCGTAGATCTGCGCCGGCTCCAAAGCCCGAATGACGTAGCTCATCGTCTGCAATCCGGGCGCCTGTATCGGCATCGCCGGCAAAATCACGTCCCTCCAATCGGATCGCCGGTCGATGTACTGCCGTCCGTAGCCCATGTTGTAGTAGCCCGTTGAAGCGAAGGTTCTGTTCTCCTGAACGAGCACAATGCGATTAAAGTCACACTGAGGAAGTACCTACTCTTTTAGAAGACTGATGCTGCAAAGGCCTCGGGTGGCCATCCTCTCCGTTTCCGCTCACCTCCGGCAGTCTGCGATACAGCAGCTTGAACTCCTCAATGGGACTCAGAGATTCGACGGCCCAGGTTATGTTGTAGCTATCTCGCCATTGTCCTCTGGATGCGCTGCTGAATTTCGCCGGGTTCGGTTTACCTGTAGACAAGCGAGGTTTAGTATGTTCGTAGCTGTCGAAGGGGGCGATGCCGGACCTGTCAGTTGGACGCTCTTCCTTGTTTTGCCCAGTTGGTTGTCGGCGACGCAGGTGTAGTTGCCAAAATCGGACCGATGGACTTTGCGGATGACCAGCGTGTGACGTGAGCCACGAGATTCCATAATTCTTCTTTCGGTCGTGTCCAGTTGCATCGTATCTCGGTACCATAGCACCTGGAGGAAAAACGAAAGTGTTACTTGATACCTCTTGTTTTTTTTCGAATATGTAAATGTAAGGTCGTTGCCCTTATTCAGAAGAGATTATCGCAAAAATTGCATTTCATAAACTGCCTTAGAAAAGCAAGGGAACGTTCAAAGAATTACGTAATACTATCCAAAAATTATTACAGTACGAACGGACCTTTCCGGTGCATAAGTTTTGAGTGGCGTTTCGATTAATAAAAAAGAAAGGTCGCACCAATTAATTCTATTACAGAATTAAGGTAACGTAAATTTTTTGATTTGTATAAAAATAACGATCGGTTCTCCTGAGGAACACTTAGTCAGAAAATTTTAAAGGAACAGGAACAGCTGTTTGCTGGACGTTCTCGGAAATCTCGGGTAAACCCAATCAGGCCACACTGTAACGCCAGGAATCAGATAAGTTCAGTCAATGGCGGCGGTCACTTCGAAAAAACTAAAACAAAATTACCCTAGCGGGAATGAAAGCAGAAAAGAGAGAAACAAAACACAAATTGATTAGCAGTGTCTACGGGAAGGCGAATGCAGGAGAGCGAAACAACAATACCCCCCCACCCCATAATTAATAGAACAAGAAGTAGTAAAAAGCTTATCTTGCAATAAAACCGTACGAAAGTGCAAAAGACAAAAGATCTCCGCTAAATAACGGCTTAACCATTTACAAAATGTCGCTATTTCATGGGGGGATCGGCGGTTTTCCCAGCCGACGCAGCGTATTCCGTTATCCACATTGCAAAATTAAAACTTCCTTAATTAATTGCGCGGCCTGCGGACGCCCTAACAATCTGTAATTGGTCTTAAAATTCAAATTAATTTAAAGCGTGCCTTTGGAGACCACTCCCGACTTAATCGGATGCTGTTCCTCCATCTCATTAAATTATCTACCGTTAATTACATTTCCCTAATTTTCTGGATAAAATTTCTAAATTCATAATTATAATTAACCCCCATTATCTCTTGGAATTACTCAGGTCAGGTATGGTCTTGCAGATTTAATGCTTGTTTCAAATTAACGTAGTGTGATAATCCACCCTTATGGTTAGGTTACACACCTTTACATCTGAAACAAAAATATAATATGCTCTGTATATAACCAATCGACCGTTATGTTATGGGTTGTGTTATCTCAATTGATCGTACAGGTATTTTGATGTGTTTCTGTATTGAATTAATTTTGTTTTTATGAACGTGTTTAATTGCATTTGATTTGATTATATGATTTGTATCATACAATTTGAGATGTTTTATTTATGTGTATTTTCTCTTGCATTTTATTGCTGTAGGTGATTTATTTCATGTATATGTGTGGTCTATGTCGGGGTTTTTGTCCCGTAGAAGGTTTCTCTGGAATGGTCTTGTGTGCGTAATATATTTGTTTGTTCTTGTCATTTCTTACGCACAAAAGTTCCGTCTTTTATTTAATTCCCTTCCCGATTATGTCTCACGTCCCAACACATACAAGAACCGATTACACAACGTAGGAGTCCATTCAGGCCACCCATATCGAGCCGACTGCCATCCAAATTCAAAAGTGCCGCGAAACGTTCATCGTTTCGACTTGAAAGGTAGGTGGCTCTGCGTGTAGTTTTTTTCCCAGAGTTGTCAACGGTAAGTATAGGGTAAGTCAACGTTTACAGTGTCGGCTTGACAGACCCCTGTACCATCGTGTTCTAAATGACAAGAGCTTTTGAACTCAATTAATGAATTTCAGTTTTTACACAGACACACTCAAATATGGTTGAATCTGGCCTTGCGGAAATTGAAGTTTCACTACCTGCATTAAAGTAGCGTGATTGACGCATCTTAAACGAAAAAGCAAAGGATATAGTTGAATATTGCAATGAACGTTTGTTTCCATTTTGTAGAATGAGTACATCAGTGCATTACATAACCGCTGTATGACATGTGCATTTTAAATTCAATAGAAAAGTCCCACTCTACTGCTTTTATATTGCGCCCTTATTTTACTTCCTGAATACTATAATCAGATTTTATCATCTGATTGGATATCGTATTCAAGCCACGTAAAAGGAGACGCAACTGCATTTTTGCTTTGCCAATAGCCGCAACATTGAAATCATGCAAAGTTTACCAATTACTTCCTTGTAGAACCGCAATTTAGTATCCTTTATACTCTTAAAATAATGCTACGATCTCACAGATCTCAGAAGTTGCGTTCCGTTTTGCAAAAAGCCGACCGACGTGATGATGCCGGATTTGTATTGGTAAAAAGGGCACGCTTTCCACAAAAGTTGCGGTCAGAAAAAGGGAGTCGTTTTCGTATCCGAGAATTAGTAAGGTACATAAGTGAAAATCTGGAGGGAAAGCGGGATTCTTGCTGAAATTTTCGAAGTGAATCTATGCCGGTCGAGCGTTAGATTTTTTTCGATCCCGTGTTGATTTCTTAGTCGAACTTTTGGTAAAACGAACTTCTTTGCCAAACTACCAAAGCCGCCATTTTAACGAGTTTAACTAACGTGGGGGCCTTCACATTTCTGGTATAACTTTAAAAGGTGAATATTGCGAAGCGTTACCGTATTAATACGAAAGCGAACCTTTTTCGTGTTAGTGCATTATGAGACTAAGGTATTCGCGCATATTGTTACCACGAAAATTTTGGAGTACAAGGTGCAAAACTTTCCGTTGCGCCCGATTTGTAGTGGTAAGTTACGTAAAGAACCAGTTGTCCACCTAATTTGTTTATACGAGGTGCTCACAACATTATGAACAAAACGGCTACCGGTAAAAAGGTTAAAGACAATTAATTCAAGATTCTGTTCAAACCTTGTTACAACAATGTTGTACCCTCTGGCGGATTGAATGGACAAAAACAATTAATACGTTTCAATTCAGCGCAAAATGTATATAACATTTGAGTGCCTGAACGATAATAAAAGGTAACGTGTAATTTGTGTAAATAACTGACTATTCGTTCATATAGATGAAAAATTGTATGGTGAAGACTACTGGTACGGCTTTCCACGATGTGGCGCTAAATGAGGCTTCTCTTTCACCGAGATGTGCACTACGTTGGAACGTGAAATTGGTCGTCGGTCGTCCGTGTACTAAATTGTATCTCTTGCTGTTTTCTTCCACCGGAAATCCATTTCCTTTTAGAATATTACAATAGTGCGTTGCAAAAATTACGTTATTGTTGGCATTTATCGTAATAGTTTCCAATTCGCGTCTAATTTTCGTGCGGTAGACGACGAGACCTTTTTTTTAGTTCGATGCGAGTTTCTCTCGCGGCTCGACGCAAATTGTCTCACGGCTTAATCTGAATTTTCTCGCTGTTCGACTCAATTCTCTTTCTCGCGGCTGCATTTCCGACATCTTAATTCCCACTACTTTATTTTTTTCATTCGCACCCAGTTCGGGACGCACAGTCGTACAACTGTACGTGATGAAGGCAATCCAGAGAGTGGAAGCTGGAGTAATGGGTAATCGACCGAATTTACAAACCATGGCACATGTTGTGCCGATACGATGTAGTAGGGCCTTTGGCCGGAAGTAGTCGAGAGTATATAAATCGAGCAACTTTAGTAAATTTGCCCTTTTTTCCGCTACAACAAGCGACAGCCACCATCGTAACGGGTAAAATAGAATTTCAGGAAATCTTTGTGGCTTTCGGAGTCCCAGAATATTTGATAAGGGACAATGGAGTGCAACGATTTCAGAAACATGTGAGGCCAATACAAGACGAAAATCTTGCTTAACGCAAAAGAATCCGACCGAGTGCGTAAATTGCGTATTAAAAGCTATGATATCGGCATATGTAAAAGACAACCATAAAAACTGGAACAGTTTTACCAAAGCTGGGTGTGGCATACACTCATACAGCCTCACACCAAGTGTTTGGAATGAACCAAATGGCGACAAAACTTTCAATCGGTCGCCGTTTGGTTCTTATCAAATTTGTTAAGGCCGAACTTTTAGGGCCTGATGATGGCTTCTTAGCCGAAACATGTCGCCTAAGCCTTATTTTTCAACATCAAATGCTTTGAATTAATTAAATTTTATGAAGAAGGTTTTAAGTTCTTGGATTATGGATTATCATTGCACTCCATTTCGAGTTATAGAAAGAGAAAATGGATACCCAACGAGATCTGCACCCACTTTGTGAGGACGCCCAGTCCACGTGGAAGCTAAACGTCGCTACGATTTACGTAAACGCCCCCAACAATTCGAAGAAGGCGCATCAGTATGGAAACAAAATTATGTTCCATCTGATAGGTTAAAAAATTTCACGGCTAAATTTGCACCAAAGTACATAGGACCTTTTATTATAAATAACTGTCTAATGATACTGGGCAATCAAAAGGCATACTAAAAATTTGAAGCCCATGATAGCATGAATTTTGGGTAGGGTTGGAAGCGGCTATATTAGGAAGAGTATTCAATTTTTTTTCGCGTTTTATTTTTTTCGGGTGGGTTTCTTCGTAGTAGGACCTATCATCTAGGTGCTATAGGTATGGGATCGTACCCTTGTAAAACCGTACTGTAGTTCTAGGTAATTTTGCCCTGTCCTACGACTTCCCGGCGCGTCAAGCTTTAACGCGCATTCATTCAGGGACCACGTGCGCACATACAAATTCGAAAAAAACATCACGGAACGTTACGTTACACCTCAAACCTGAGCTTAAGGTTCAATACAAGAAACCCGAGACTTTAAACTTCAATCTTAAGCCCTGAAACCTGCCCACATGAGCCTTCTATTAATGCTATCATATTTCTAATAGGCCATTAAAAATGAATTATTCCGTTTGAATTCATCGACAAAAAGTGGCGCGCGATTAGTGTATCCGCAGGCATTAAAACGTACGTAGAATTTTAAGGGGGGGATTTATAATGAGGGACTGAAATAAGTACACAAATTTCGGAGCGTGCTAATTAAGGTTGTACGAACTTATATCACAGTAAATTAAGCAAAAAGCTCGAAAACACAGTGCTCGAAGCAGATAAAATATCTAGTT